TTCTTGTAATATCTTTTACATTGTTTATTCTCATAATAATATTGATTAAACATTTTACCTGCATTATGGTATTTGTGGTTATAATAATTATTTTTCATTTTATTATAATGATTATTTGAGAATATACTATGGTATTTATAAATATGATAATCATTATTAAAGTGATTATGAATATTATTTTGTTGATAATGATTATAGTTATAGTATTGATAATGTCTTCTAAATCTATTTTTTGTGCATAACTATTATTATAAGATTGCTTTATTCAACTTAAGAAATAGAATAATGAAAAATAGTAACATAAAACTAATTCAAAAAAGGATATTCACTGTTTTGAACAATACTATAAAAGAGCAAAAACGTTTAATATAAACACATTTTATACACTGTTTTTATTACAAGCTCAGACACGTTATATATAATAATAATTGTTTCAAAATATAAATATTTTTTCTTTGTATGATAACACTGTCATACTAAAAAATGTTTAAGCTAACAATAAAAAGGGTTTGAACTAATCTTGTAGTACTCATTTTTGTGTTATGGTCACAAACATGTAATCAACCATTAGAGGTTTGATCCGATAATGAGACTGCTTCAAATCAATAATTATCACAAATGATTGTTTATTAACTAAATAGAATAAACAAACTCTAAACTAACCTTTGTAGATTTGAAATTCACTAACACCGAAAGGGAAGTACTAATACAGAAGAACTAAATCAAATTTAGAGATGACATAAAGAAAAAGATATAGTGAAAAAGTTGTAGTAATATAAATTATTAGAAAAGAAAACAAAGAACGTTGTTCAACAGAACAGTATCATAGGTGATTGTATAAATTACTAAACAAATGACAACAAGCCTTTTCAAAAAACTAAAACAAAGAAAATAATTAAAAAGAAGAGGAAAGTATTAAGAAGTAAAGTTTGTTTGTAAAAAAAATAATTATAACATATAAATTTAAATAAAAAAAAAGAAGAAAAAGAGGGAATATTCTTTTTTCTTCGAGTATGTATTAAATTTATTTTTAGTTAAGAAGAACAATATGAGATCTGTTAATATCTTCAAATTTATAGTTTACACATGCAAAAAAAAGAAAAGGATGTACCATCTCCACTCCAAAACTCATCATCTGAAGAAGTAAGAAAGAAATTACTTAATGTTGAAAATAAGACTTATTTTTCATTTGTTATGCCAAGTGGTGTTGCACTAATTGTTGCTGTTGCATTAATTATCACCTCAGTTATTCTTCCATTTATTGGAAAGGCACCTGTTAAAACTATTGAAATGACAAGAAAACAATTAGGGCAATCTCTTCCTAATTTTGATTTGGATGAAATGGACATTGAAGATATTTATTATTATTCTGCATTAGCTGATAGTGTTAATGTAACTATGAAATTAGTTGATTTAGAATTAGATGATTTAGATATTTCAGAACTTTCATTAGATAAATTGTATTTCCTTACTATGTTATCTGATAGATATGAATTAGATATTAATGAATTTAAGGGAGAAACAAAGAAATTTTTTAAGGATTATGGATTTATTGATGATTTAGAGATGGAAGAAGAACGACTTGAAGCAGATGACCAACATGGAGAAACTATTATAAAAAGATTAAAACCTGAAAGTGTTGAAGCATGTTTTTATGCTATTGAAATTATGAAGAAAACTGGAGAATTTAAGAGTTTTAAGAAAAGTAAAAAGTATCAAAAAATGATTGAATACATCATTAAAATGCAAGGAGAGTCTGGATTAATTTATAATAATAAAAATGTAGAAACTAGTTTAAAAGTTATGGTATTTGCATTGAAACTTCTTACTGAAGCACGTAATAATGGAATTATAAATCGTGAGATTGATGAAGTTATTAATAAAGTTAAAAATGTATATGAATATGCTATGAATATTGATGGTAGTTATGATTATTTTTTGGAAGATACTCCATCATGTTTTGGAACTGCTTATGGAGTTGTTGGAAGAAAATTAGTTGGATTAAAAATAAAACCAACAACTAAACAATATTTGATGTCATGTGTAACTGAAAAAGGACCAGTTATTTTTAGAGGAGAACCAGAAATTGATATTGAAACTGGTTATATTATTAATGAAGCTCTTAATGGAGTTAAAGACTCACCATCTCAACATAACGAAAAAGCATCTACACTTTCATGTATTTTTATTGCTGTTGCAATTGTTGTTTTTATAAGTGAAAGTCTTGATCAAAATACATTAAAAGAAATAATAGTTTCACTAACTCTTTCACTTATTGGTTCAATTATTGGTTATCTTCTTCAAAATACAACTCTTCAAATATTCTTTATTATTCCACTTGGTTATTGTATATTCCTTTCAATAAAGAGAATTGAATCCTGGAAGAGACATGCAATGTTCTGGATGATTGTATTAACACCAGCTAGTATTATTGGATGTGTCTTATTTATTATTGATTCATTCTTCCCAACGTTAATAGTTGATATGACCGCTTCATATATTGTATTTGCTATTCTTGTTGGGTTATTAGTTACTAATCAATTAGTATTTTATTCATTATTTAATGACAAACATAAATACCAATGGTTCTTTGATGCTTCTCATCTTGCTTATTATCTTGCTTATTTCACTTTAATTATGCTTCTTGGTGCATCAGATAATTTTGAATTTGTTCTTTCTACTTTACAATTATCAGGAAGTATGACATATCATTTCATTGGAGTTCCAATAATATTCCAATCACTCTCTTTAGTAGCAATTGCCTTATCTGTTCCAGCTGTCTCTCTTATGGCTCAAATAAAAAATAATTGAAAGAAATTTTTTATCTTTTGTTATTCTAAATTTTAATTTTTTGTTATTTGGAATATTTTATTGAAACAATTTGATATAATTATTATTTCTTGTATTTTTGACTTTTTGAGAAAGAAAAATAATGACATTTTACTTATCAAACAAAAGAAAATGGATAAGAATCAGATTAAATGATTTCATTAAAGAAGATATTTAAAATGAAAAAATATAAAAAAAACAACTAAAAATAAATGAAATCACTGAATTAAAGCTCAAACTCGAAATCACCAACAAATTCCATTGAATTTGCTTTTACCATCATATGACCAACACACACGATTAATGAGAACATAAACACTCCAATTAATCCAACACTTTGAGAATAAACAACAAAAATGATGTAAAGGATAAAGTAAAATAGTAATAAAACAATTGGTGCAACTTTTAAATAAAAACGAACAACAGGAGATTTTTGATTGAAGAAGATAATAATGAATGACAAAGATATTAAGAGATGAATAAGTCCATATATTGGTTTAACTAAACTAATAATATAAGTTAGTATTTATTTAATACAACAAATTAACAAACAAAGAAATACTAAATAATATGGTAAATAACACAATATAATTTAATTTAAATGTATCAATATTATATTTCATTCTATGAAAAAGTTGTTTAGAGTTAAATTCGTAATCAACTGAGAACCCCCAAAATAAATCCCATTCAAGTTGAGTATATCCATGACTTTCATTGCCTTCAACCAATGGAATTCCTTCATCTTCTATTTCATGAACTTGTTCATTTAATTGTGTAGGTTTATTATCATTAATACTAGTTAAAGGAACTGTTTCACTCATTTTTATAAAATTGTTTTTTAAGTTCTTTTTTCTTTTTTTTTTAAGGAAAACAAAAAAAAAATTAATAAAATGAAATAAAATATTTTTAATTTAAAAGTACATCTCATTGTGTTTCTTCAATTTTTAATAATTCTTCTTCTACTTCATTTATCTTAGGTCTTTTCTTAGGCTCTTTATCCCAACAAGTTAGTACAAAATTATAAACAGATTCTGACATACTTTCTGGCTTTTCTAAATGTTTTCCTGACATAATAAATTCTGAAATATGCCAATTGCATTTAAACCGAGGATCATTTTGTTCAAACGCATCACCCCATTTGATTGTTTCAAAAATAACCACTCCAAAAGCAAAAATGTCAGCTGGGAATTTATATGGCTCTTTTAAGAATATTTCAGGCGCCATATAAGTCAAAGTTCCAACTCCAAAAGTATAATTTATATCTGTCATTAACGTGCTAACACTTCTTGAAAATCCAAAGTCAGTAATTTTTGCATTAACTGGAACATTAGGTTCTAATGAAAATATTAAAATATTGGCTGTTTTCATATCTCTATGTAACACTCCATTGGCGTGAAGATATTTAATTCCTTTTGCAACGTCAAGTAATATTTTTTTCTTTAAGTTAAAGTCTAAAGTAGGATATGTTGTAAATAAATCCCTCAAACTACCATATCCTGCTAGTTCTAAGACAACACAATACCCATTGTGTATTTCAACTGTTCCTAATAAATCAACAATATACTCGCACCTAAACTTTTGTAACAATTCAATTTCTTTTACAAAATTTTCAAAAACATCTGAATGCATACCAATACTTTGCATAAGTTTAATGGCAACAGGCCTATGGTTATATTCCCCTTTGACAACTCTACCATATCCTCCAATTCCAAGTTCTTTATCTTTAAAAGAAATTGATTTTAGATCTAGTTTATAAGATGTCTCTGTTACTGCATCAAAACAAACAAGTTTAGTTACTTGTGATTTAGTTTTTAAGTCAACAACATCAATATGTATTTTTTGTTCAATATGACATGTACAATATGGTGTCACTTCCATTTTTATTGAAACAGCAGTGTTCTTTTTCAAAATAACTACTCCTGGTGTAATTGAAATAGAAAATCTTACATGGTCATTAGGTTCTTGCAATTTAACAAATTGAATTCGAATAGAATTTTTACTTATATTCCCAACGTTTATAATAACTTCTGTTGGAACAGAAACTGGTAATTTACGTTGATTATCAAAGCGAAAGACTTTCTCTTCAAGAGCAAGTGACTGATAAAATACATTTTTAAATGAAAATTGAGCAGAGTAAATATTAACAGTTTGATAACTTATGTCTTTTGCTCGAACTACCTTTTTCAATACCATACGTGCAATACAACCTGTTAAGGTAATAATAATTATTAATAACGTAATTGATAATAAAATAATTATTACTATCAACCACCACACTGGAGCTATTTCACAATATCTATGACTTGAACTCACTTGAAACCAAAAACTACATGAAGAACAAGATGAGTTTGAAACTCTTAAACAATGAGAAACTGATGACAATGGAATACATGTACCAAAATCTAAAATATAATTATCAATACAACTTAAACATAAAGAGGATGTACAACGAGTACATGAACTATTACATACTATACAAGTATTTCCTAATAAATAGTATCCATCTTCACAAACTGAACATCCATTTTCTGTAACTGGATGGTGACACCCTTTAATTGATGAACGAGAATAACATTTATTATCAACAATTGATAAATAATTTGTTGAATTGCATCTTAAACAACTCCATTTATTATTACAAGTAGCACATTCTTCCATACATTTTCCACAAATTAATCCTGTTTTATAATATCCTTCATTACATGTTGCACAACCTCCAGTTAGTGCAAAAGTATTACAAACATCTTTTAATTCTTCATTAATAATACATTGATGGTTTTGAATAAATGATTTATTATCACATGTTAAACAAAAATCAGAATTATATAAACATGTTCTACAATGTTCTGTACAAGGTTTACATTCTCCAAATTTTGTTTTATAATATCCATCTTCACATCGTTCACATATTTTTGTTGAAACAAAAGAACAATGTGGAATTTGGTTTATATCTTTTACACATGTATTTCCATATAATAAATAATTCTCTTCACATTCAAAGCATTGTTCGTGATACATTTGAATACAATGAGAAACTTCTTTAGAGCATAATTTATTAAGATCAACAATATATCCATTTTCACATAATGAACATTTTCCATCTTCTTCAATTTGACAATGAGGAATTCCACATGAACCATCTGATTGTAATTGAAGTGGTTTTAAACATTTAGTACATTTTTTATTTTCACAAATTTGACAATTTGGAGTAACTATTGTACAAGAAATACACTGTAATCCATCAGTATAATATCCTTCAATACAAAAAACAATTGAACTACTTGAAACAATTTCTGTACTTTCTTTTTCAAAACATTTTCCGTTAATAGAAATAACAGGAGTTGAAGTTGTTTGTTGGCATAAATAACAATGGTCTTCAAAAGAGTCACTACAATCGGTTACTGCATCTGAGCATATTCCATTTAATACAGTATTTCCTTTAGAACAATGATTACATCTATTGTGTTGTGCTACAAGACATTTTTCTTCCATTGGAACACAAGACCCTTCAGTATTAAGATAATAATTATCATCACAAATAAGACATGTAGTTGATGTACACCGTTGACAATGTTCTTTTTTACATTTTGAACAAAGAGTGAAATAAGAATTACTAAAATAATGTTCTGGGCAAGTAATACTTGTTTTAGTTAAACAACTCATTTTATTATTTAATAAATAAGCAGATGAACATAATTTAACACTTGTAAGCTGTAATAAATTTCTAATTCCATTTAAACACACAAGGTAAAGTGGAAGATCACCATCACTAACTTTATGATAAAGTAACTGATTATATTTATCATATTTAATAATAACAGGATAATGTGATTGAATAATAAGTTTTAACCTAGATGAACTAATTCCATAAGCACTTGTAGTTAATTCAGTTGATGAAAGAAAAGTTTCTGATAAAGAAAGTCCGTCATAATCTCTACTAAAAAAGATTCTATAATCGTTAATATTTGTTGGTTCATTTGTAATGGACATAGATTCGTCTCCAACTAAATATAATGGTAAAATAGAAAATCCAATATTATCAAAGTGAATTGACTCAATAGACCCATTAATAAATTGATAATAACTAGATGTTTGAAGAATATGTAATTGAACTCGTTTATCAACAAAAGTACTATAAATAGTAGAATTACCAATATATAATAAACCTGTTAAAGAATGAGTAATACAATTAGATCCAAAACAAGGACATAACCTAGAGGTAAATGGATAAGGTGTATTAGCATCATCTGATAAAGGATCAGGCCATTGAGTTCCATTCATGTAACAATGTTGATAAGGGTCAATATGATTTGGACAATATTTATAGAGCCTATTATCATTTAATAAAATAAAGTGAGGATTTTTAAGTGTCATAGCAAGGTTATTATGAATTTCAAAAGTAGCTAGATAAAAACATTCTCCACTAAATGTATGAATTGTTACATTTGGATCAAACATAACTTCTCCAAGAAAGAAGTGAAATAATGAAAGCTCTTCTGGTGGTGAATGAATATATAATTTCGATTCATCAAACATTCCAAATTGTTTAAATAATGATTTTGAAGTAGACAGAGTATCAAAAATAAATGAGTATGGATGATCCTGATAAATTTCCCATGCACTTTTATTATAAAATTCAAGTTTAGTAAAAGGAGGAAGAATACTTCCTTTAAAAGTAGTTGTAGAGTCTTCATAACAAGTTAAAGCAAATGTATCTGAAAATGTTATATTTCCATCTAATATAAAATGACTTTTTTTCTTTATAACAACTGAAGTACCAAAAAATTTACTATTTCCAATGAGAGTAAAATTAGATTTATCAGTTAAAGAAATTTGTGAAGTAAAAAAATGATTTTGGGATTGTAAAACAATACTAGAGATTCCAAATTCTGCTAATTGATCAATTAGAAGAACACTATTACTTCCAAGTTCTAAAATCGTATTTGTTAATTTAACTAATGTCACTGAAGATAAATCTAAGAAACACTTTGATAACCCCATAAAAAGAGTATCACTAAGTTCAAATGAATCAATAACACTGAATATAGAATCATCTAAATAAATAAAACTATTATTAGTTGATATAAATGACCAAGTAATTAATTCAGTATTAGGAATCATAGCTAAAGTTGAATTATTAAGAAGTAACGATTTCATTTGTAAACCATCATTATTTTTTAATAAAATTGAAGACGAATAGAGTTCTATTTTATCAGCAATTAAATATTGTAATTCATTTAAAGTAAATTTAGAATTTGTGATCGTCAATTTTCCTGTACTTTCGAATTTTATAAAAGAAAATTGGGTTATATTAAAAATATCAAAATCAATAAAAATTGATAAAGATACTTTTGCTTTTGGTGTTTCAAATTTAATTTGATTTTGAGTTATCGTCCCATTAATGTTCACATCTGCACCATCTTTTAATAGCAATATATAATTATTTTTAACTTCATTTGAAATAGTCAATTCCACTTTATTTTGAATAATTAAAATTATTTCTTCTCTTTCGATTAAACAAGTCTCATCGAATATAAATTTTGACGTAACTGTAATAATATCACAACCGCTCTTAATTATTTCTCCGCTTTCATTAATATTATTTTCGCATGTACTTCCATTTGTAACGCAACGTACTAATTCTTGTTTTTGAGACTGTACAAGGATAAGAATATAAAAAAAAACAATCCACTTCATTTTCCAACAAATATTTTAAATTTTTTTTTATTTTTAGTTCAAAAATTTTATTTTTCCTTTTTTTTTTAAAAAAAATCCAAATTATAATGAAACTATAATTTTATTATTATTTTTTAGCTTATTTTTCGTCAAACAGTTTTTTAATTATTCGTTGATATTTTGTAGAAATTGCTTGTCGCTTTAATTTTAACGCTGCTGTCAACATTCCATTTTCTGGTGTCCAATCATCTGGTATTAATGCAAAATATTTTATACGTTGTCGTTCTGTAAGTGTACTTTCAGCTTCTTTTAATAATTTTTTTACTTCTTGAATAACCATTTTATCTTCACATGCTTCTTCAAATGGTTTGTCACTAATTTCTTGAATAACATTTTTATTTGGAAGAATTAAAGCAACAACAAAATCATGAAATGCATCTGCAAATACACAAATAGAATCAACTATTCTTAATGAACTGTATTTCGACTCAACAAGTTCTAATGAAATATATTCTCCACATGGTTGTTTTACAATATTTTTCTTTCTGTCAATAATAAAAATATGACATCGTTCATCAAATTTCGCTATATCTCCTGTACATAACCATCCATCTTCAGTAAATGCTTCTTTACTTTCTTCTGGTCTATTAAAATATCCTTTAGATACAGGAAGTCCTCTAAATAATAATTCTCCTTGTGGTGGATTATTAGAAGTTAAATATCCTAATTCTGGTACATCCCTTAATTTTGCTTCATACATTGGGAATAAACATCCAATACTTGATAATGTAGCATCTCCATGTGGCATAACACTACATGCTCCACATAACTCAGTCATTCCAAATCCTTGCATTATATCTACACCTGGAACAACACATTGAAGAAAATGTTGTAATTCACTGGGAAGAGCAGAACCACCAATAATAATAGCTTTTAAATATCTTCCAAATAATGAAACTGCTAATGGTCTAAAAGCAATTGCATTAACTAATTTAACTATTGGCATAAATAAATAAGGACTTCTTAAATCAAAATTAACATATAATTTTTCTTTGATCCAGTAACAAGCATTAAATATCTTTTGTTTTGAAATCGATGATTTATTAACTGTTTCAAGAATTGCTTTACGGACTCTATTAAAAACTGTTGGTACACCAATTAAAATAGTTGGTTCTAGTGCACATAAATCAGACTTACAATTAATAACTCCTGGAGATGTTAATGTTCTAACATTTGCATATCCAACAGTCCCTCCATGCATAATAACAGCAAATTCAATGCATAGTTCAAAAATATGTGCTAATGGTAAATAAGCAATAAGAACGTCTTGATCAAAGAAAATATTCTTTTGATACCCTACTGATAACATCAATATTTGTTTTTGTTCTACTAAAACTCCTTTTGGATCTTTAGATGTTCCTGATGTATACATAATTAATGCAAGATCATCTGGTTTAACTGGAGTAAATGATGAATGAATTGTTGATTCTTTTAATTCATTGAATTTAAAAACTTTGAATTCTTTTGGGTATTCTTCAAGCTCATCAACACAAATCAATTTTACATCATTTGGTACTTGAATTTTATTAATTCTTTGTATTGTTTCTTTAGAAACTACAATAGCTTTTACTTCTGTTTCTTTCAAAGCAACACTAACTGATTCATCACCTAATGTTGCATAGACAGTTACAATAATAATACCTTGTCTACAACAAGCCAATAACATAGCCATCCATTCATATCTTGTTTCACAAAAGATTGCAATCTTATCTCCTGCTTTAAATCCTACATCTGCAATTCCACTTGATAATTTATTAATAAGTGTTTGAAATTCAACATCTGAAAGGTACTGATAATCACTCATTTGATATTTATATAAAACTTTCTCTACTTCTTTGTTGTTTGTAACTGTTTTAATAGTTTTATATGGCACTTCTTTAATGAGTGTTCTATACCCAATAAGTTTATTTTGATGTCTTCTAGTCATTCCATTAACAACATCTGCAATAGTTTCAAATCCAGGAACATTATAATCTACTAATTTATCAATACCACCATATCCTCTCATAACTCTACTCTCTCCTGAATTAGCTTCACCAACAAAACACCCATTTAATTTTTGATCATATCCATTAGGTCTAAGGTAATAAAGAATAATAAGAGAAACAATAACAACAACAAGTAAAGTAGTTCCAATAATGCTCATTTTAATTCTTTTACTAATTCAAGATCAAAATTTTATATTACCTTCAAATGGTCTGTACTTGCAAACAAATTGTCTGTTTATCTTTTCTTCTGAAAGAAAAAACTAACATAGTTTTTCTTTTTTGTCTGTCTAACAGACATTTCAAAATTGTTTTTTTTCTCGTTCTTTATTTCTCAAAAAATATTAATTTTGGTTATTTATCACATTTAAAATTTTTTTTATAAATCTATAAATAACAAAAAAATAAAATGCTATTCAAGAAAATTCTTTGAAAATTCTCCGGAAAAGTTAACAAAGAAAACCAGCCCAAAACAAAGAGATTTTTTTCATGAGAAAAATTCAAAGTTCTCAAGAAAAAAAAAAAAAGAGGTTTAATAATTCTCAATTTAGAACAAAATAACTGACCAGAGGAAATTGTTGCGTTGAATATTATTTATTCTTTTTCTTTATTAAGTTTTATGATTAGATAATTGATTTAAAATTTCATCTAATATTTAAAGTTGAACTTTGGGGTCAGATCTACTTCTCATAAATAAAAATGCCAGACGAAAAGACTTATCTCTTACGTTCAAAATTGGTTGGTTATACTGACTCCTATGACCTTTATGAGTTGTTTACAGGAAAACTTATTCCTGAGAGTCAAGGATGTGATTATGAGAATTTTGAATTTCCTGTATTTGACAGAAAGATAATCTGTCAAGTTAATGCAACACTTCATATTGAACAATGCATTTCAAATCCATCATCTATTAGAGGGTTTCAAATTTTATTTTGTATTTATGATGTTAATGATAAGGAATCTATTCAATTTCTGAAAGCTCAAATTCCGTTTATTCATCAGAAATGTCAGTTAACAAAAGTAGTTGTCATAGGAATAACAGACGGAAGTGAGAGTAGTGTTGTCACTGAACAAGACATTATTGAAATGACACTAAATTATAAATTTTATCATCTTAAATTAAATGCCAATGACAATAAAAAAGAAATGTTGCAAAAATATTGTCTTGGATATCTTCTTCAAAACGATTCTGAATTTAAAAATCTTTTATGATACTCAGATTCAAGAAGTTAATAAAAGTTATGGAGATTTAAAATCAACAGAACCCAATAAAAGATCAAAAGTAAAAAGTTGTGTTATTGTTTAATTAATTTAGTTATTGTTTTTAATAACAAAATATTACCAAATGTTATGCAAGCTATTTTTTAATGCATTAATATAACTAATTATCCACAACCTTACAACTCTCTTTTATTGTTACAGTCTAATTTATTTGCTTTTTTCTTTTAAAAACGTATTAATCATTTTTTTAAGACAGAGAATACTATTAGTTCATGAAATAGAATAAAGGATGTGATATGAGACTAACATGTTATGAATGTCTTGCAATGGGTAATGCAGTTGGAATGATTGAAGTTGTATTACGGTCTGAAACGATTGCTGCTATTCAAAAGAAAATGTATGGAGGAAATGTTTCAGCTGCTTTTCAAGAAGATCCATTATATAAGTGGTTAAAAGATAAAAATGCAAGTGATGATGAATTTTTAAATGCACAACAAAATTTTATTTATTCATGTGCAGGATATTGTGTTGCTACTTATGTTCTTGGTGTAGGAGATAGACATAATGATAATATTCTTCTTACACCAACAGGACATCTTGTTCATATTGATTTTGGTCATATTTTAGGAAATGTTGAAAAGTTTAAAGGATTTAAACGAGAAACAGCTCCATTTGTTCTTACTAAAGAATTTGTATATGTTATGGGAGGAAAGAATTCTGAGGGATTTAAATTATTTGTGAATTTATGTTGTGATACATTCTTAATTTTACGAAAGAATTATCATGGATTAGTTAACTTATTTACTATGGTTTGTTTAATTATTTCAGTGTAACAATAAATAAAAAAAAACTTATTGTAATAGATGCTTTCAACTGGATTACCAGAATTAAGAAGAACAGAAGATATGATTTATTTATTGAATAGCCTTGTACTTGATATGAATGAAGTTGATGCACGTGCATATTTTGAAAAGTTAATTAATGTTGCACTTGAAGCTGTCATGACACGAGTAAACAATGCTATTCATATCTTTGCACATCCTGACGTCAAAGAAGATGTTTAATTTACTTTTTCATTCCATTAAATAATATTAAACACAAAAGTTAAATTAATTCAAATGAGTCCATACACATTTTAAACATTTCTAGAAATCGTACAAATAATTGAGAATTTTCTGATATCATCCAATGAGTTCTATTAACAATAAAATTTACTGTAATGTTTTGTTTAAATGCTTTATTTAATATATTCCCTAAAAATCCACAATTTTGAAAATACATTGAATTTCCAAATTCTGAAACATCAAATGATGCTGATAATGATTGATGATCTTTTGCTGTTTTCAAAATTGTATCAATTGCATTATCAGTTACTTCATAGTAATGTGCAAACACATCATCTAAAATCATACTTATTGGATTTTTATTAAATCTACGATAATCTAAAGCAATTAACCCATGGAATGAAGAGATTTCTTGTTTTAATTTTTGTGTTTGTTGTGAGAGTTGAAGAAGTGTTTTATCATCACAATTGCCAAGACATTTGTTTTTAACAGTTTTTGTTAATGAAATAGCAAATTGATAAGATTTTAATTTATGTTGAAATGATGAAATATCATTTAAAAGACGTGTTGTGTTTGATTCATTTGATATAATAATTGATGGAATAGAATGTCTTTGTATTTGATTTAGAAATGTCTGAGTTTCAGTTAATTGAATTGAAGAATAAAAATCTGGAAAACTAATTCCAATTTCTATTTTAAATGATAGCATTGTTGACATTGTCTTTAGTAATGAATAATAATCTAAATATGTTTGTAAATATATTTCTTTTTGTG